TATATATGAAAAGATGTAACTCATTAGAACCCAAATCAGTTTTCAGTTGCTCGAACTGTTTAATATTTTTAGGAAATATAGCCCTTTTAAATTTAAAATTTTGAAACTTGACGTTTGAAGTACTTATCCAATCACAAGAGTGCATTGTTGTATTGGATCATTAGTGGCATAGAATTCGAACAAACTGTTCGGAAGAGTAGAAAAGAAAAAGTAGGAAGAGTAGTTTCTTTGTTTTAAGTTTATTGGGCCAAAAATAAACACTTTTTTAATTCGTAATTAAATCTCGCAATTAATCGCTCTATATTTTTCGAGTAAATCATAACTGTATCAAGAAATACAAAAATTAAATTATATCATAGACATACAAACAAACGCCTTTTTTTTAGAGGGAGAAGATAAAAGTTAATGACTTGTGACATATGTCAAACTTTAAAAATTAATTGTGGCCTTAATAGGAAACGGAAAAAATTAAAAATTTCACCAACGACTTCATAAGAATACGTAGTTTTATAAAAATAATTTAAAAAAAAGTCGTACTCCTCTCCATAGACACGATTCGTTTTTTTTTTTTTAAGATGCGACGATGGATATTATGGAAACCCATTGGAAATCGGCAACGGTTGCAACCCGTGCGATTGCAACGGCGGGCCGTGCGATCGGAAAACCGGGCAATGTCTCAGTTGCAGGGGAAACACCGAAGGTATATGCTCGTATATAACGTTAAAACATTTTCTCTCTACTTTCCTCTATTTAGGTTGGAAATGCGATAAATGCAAACCCGAGCACTACGGCGATCCGACATCTTTCAACTGCAAAGCTTGCGAATGCGATCCGGTCGGTTCGGTTTCGAAACAATGCGATAATGTCACCGGGTCCTGCGAATGCAAGGAGAAGTTTATAGGACGAACTTGCGACCAATGTCAAGTAAATATAATACTCCTTAATCTATACCCTGATTTCAAAATAACTGGCAAAATAACTCATGTTAAAAAAATTTGAAAAATGGTGCAGGAGCAATCTGACCTGCCTTTCCTGAATGACCGAAATATACTGCTCTACAAAAGTTAAGGAAGTTGACAAATATTGAGATTAATTTAAAAGTTGCATGTTTTTTGATCGCCAAATTTAGTATGAATTGTAGATGTAGTGGCAAAAAATCCACTTAGATATGAGAGAAAACATTTAATTTCGCATATTTGAAAATTTGGTGATCAAAAAGTCTGTAACTATTAAAATAATCGCAAAATTTGCGAACTTCCTTAAGTTTTGTGGAGCAGTTTATTTATAAACCTCGCTCCTGCAACATTTTTTTAAACGAGTCACTGTCAGTTATTTTGGAAACAGGGTATACTTAAATCTTCCCTACCTTCAACTAAAAGAAGTATCCAATAGAAAGTTCTAGCGACAGTGAAACGAACATATTGGTATTAAATTAGGGATGTTTGTATTCCAGGAAGGATACGGCAACGTAACCGCCCTTTGCGTCCCTTGTACTTGCAACACGATCGGTTCCAAATCGCTCACGTGCAACAGCCACACGGGCATTTGCGATTGCAAACCCGGAGTGGATGGTTTCCATTGCGACGCCTGCCAGAATCTCTACTACGGATTCTCCGACGACGGATGCAAACGTAAGTCGCACGATTTATTTTTTTTCTAATTAAACCACAAACTTAGATCATATATACTAACGTGGATAAGTCGACAGCGGTAAACTCTGTTGCCAACATATTCACGACGTACTTTTATGACCCGTCTTTGTTTGACACTCGCTAGTTTCTAACGGTGTGTCTTTGTCTTGGAGCCTTTGACAATTTTGACGTATATAGTTAGCGCCAAATTTAAATATTCATGCTTCAAAACTATTTTAAGATGCTTGTTGTTTACCTCAGTGTTATGTATAAACCGCAAACACTAAACACAAACCAATTCAATAATCAAAAATCCAAATATAATAATAATACGACGCCATGACAGTTATGAAGCAGATGTCAAATGTCATAGTGTCAATGCCAGTTCGAGAAAAGGACGCATCAACATTGCCAAATGTCTAATAGCTATTTCTTATTTCTACTTTTCTTTTACTACAAATAAGTAATCGAGCAGCTGTTTTGTACAATAATTAGTTAATTAAAATGTATACGCATTTAAATAGTACTACTGTGGGCAAAAAGTATCGAGAAATTTGAATTAAAATTTTTATCTGATTTCGTTGGGACAATTTAGTTAATTAAAATGTATACGCATTTAAATAGTATTACTGCATTTCAAAACAATTATTTTAGATAGTAAATAAAAATATTTTTATCGTACATCGAACATATTAAAAGAGTGAAAAATTACAACAAATGTGTGAACCTGGCAACAAGGGCGAGTTTCCTAATGTATCTGTTGTATACTAATAAATACGTTTAGATTTTTAAAGCACAATTGGCAGACCAAAACAAAGATAAATCTATGCTGAATTCCATAGAGCAAAAAAAGAGAGTACAATTTAGGCATGTTGTAGATGTTGGCAACAGGAACGTAAATGTAATTCTTATGGCATTGATGCATCCACATTAGTATATATGATCTAAGACCACAAACAATTAACTGCTAAGTTACCTAATTAAATCGCGAATTTGTCATCAAACAAAATTCGCGAGACGTGCATAAACCGTAACAGTTACACCGCGTAAACTAAATTAAGCGTATTAGCATATTTTCATGCATCATGTAAAGGCATTTTTGAAAACACCGTAGAACATAGTTGAGCGTCGGGCGAGATAATTTAAAACGCCGCAGCTTACATATTAAATAATGGTAACGGCGGTGCAGCGGCGAATTTATTATAAACTTCGCATCGAACGCGTTCGATCGCCGTTACAGAAGGCCGGTTAATCGAGTTTAGTGCGAAATTAATTGCGAAAAACGCCGCATTCGGAATCGCCCTTGTGGGAAAATCGGAATTAGCGGGTGAATTCGTAACGCGAGAAAGTAAATCTTCCAGCTTGTTGTGAAAACCAGTACAGGGAAAATAAAAATACTAACGTATCTGAATTAACCCTTATTGTTACTTTGCTTTAATGCATCAAAAATTTTGTGTAAATTTTGAGATTATATTTCTTGCAAATAATTATTTTATGTGAAGCCAGATGAAGAGTAGAGGAAACGAACCAAACACTCTCTTACCGGCGTAAACGTGTTTGTGCGAAAATGAATAAAAAAAAAACAATCACCTGTTCGATTATTTATTGGAATAACTCACGTGAGTTCAATCGGTAAATCTCTACGCTATGTGACATATCGATAATATCGACAAAGGATAACGGCGATTAAACTTTTGCCGGTGGATTTACGGGTATAAAATGTTCACCACCAGTTAAAATGTTAAATTTACGAGCGCTCTATAATCAAATATTACAAACGAAATGAGTTTCTTAATGTCATAACGAAATTAATTTCTTTAAGTAGCTACTGAAACATTCTAACATCCGATTTACCGTTAGTAATCTTCCTATTGAATTAATTATTTCATACATGGTGAAGTAATCGATCGTATGTATCCTCTTATGAATTAATTTCTGGTCAAAATATGTTTGCCCATCGAATAAACAATACCAGAAAATGCGGATTTGCATAAATCGATGAAATTATGTCCAAACACCATTAGTTCCGCTGGCTAATAAAATTAAATGGAATATATTCGAAGCATAAGCGTGCTCTAATATTCCTCGAGCAACTGCATTTTTAATAAGTGTCGCCTACGCCACTGGTTAGAATTTAATTGAGGCGAATGAATGGAGTGAAGATTTTATTACGACCATAAACTACTATCCGCTTTTATCGAACGAAAATACGATTGAATGGACCTTTTGAGGATTTCTGTCATTTTATTAATGTTTATTCGGCTCCGTTTTAAGTGATCGAAGAAATAAAAAGGCGAATTAAGATATGTAATTAGCCAACATTGAGCGATCAGAGAAAGTATCGTTAAACCGAATTCGAGGCGGTTTGGAAGTTTCCGAGAAAACTCGTATTTTAGAGACTCCGTAGGTGTTTTTCGTGAGCCGAATTAAATCCGAAACGAAACGCAAATCTAACTCGCCTATTCCACAAACAAACAAAGTATTTCACGTTTTCGATTATCCGGCGTTTCGAAAACACCATTACACTTCGTCGACCATCTGCTCCGACTCTCCCGGACCCTTGAAAAAATAATCCAATTACCGCGGTTTTTATAAATAGTATCCGACTCTGGTTTAATTAAAAAAAATCGATAAATATTTAGTTACGTAAACCGATTGGGATGACGGCGATAATCGAGTTATTGACCCGTTAAGTGGGCTCGAAGTTTTGTGTTACTTCCAATAGGAATAATTTCAGGACTAAAATCGTTGATTGCATGCAATTGTAAATAATCAACGAGATTACTCTTAGAGTGTCTAATTGAGATATTCTAATCAATCACTCGATGTTCGTATTGGAGAGAAGCAATCGTGAAGGGCCCACTTTAACCAATTGATTGATTATTGTTTTAATTAACATCGTCGTTATACGCTTCAATCTGTCCTATACAAGCCCGAATCGTTAAATCTACCGGTTTTTTTTTCAACCCCCGATTCGATTTGTGTTTCCTAATTCTTCCTCTTACTTTCCCGCGAGCGACAAATATCGAAATCGCCGAGATAACTAGACGTTTCTGACGCGCTCCAAATAAAACCAAAACCTAATTTTCCGTAACGTCGCCCGGTAATTCTCCTAGAAAATATGACATACGCGAAAGCCTCATCCGACGTATAACAAACCGAAACTGGAACGGGAAAAAAAGCGAAACCGAACAGGCTAGCGCTTAATCCCCGCAGATTAGTTCATGAATTATCCATTACGGAGGTCTTTAATTCGACATACAACGAGCAATAAAACCAAAAAAAAGCTTCTCAATAACAGGCATTTATTAGACAAAACTTAGGGGTATATAGATACAAAATAGGCGCAATTTTTCCGCCAATTCAAACCTACCAGCCCACGGAGTAGGGCGAAGCCGCCGCGTAGTTCGAAACTCTGGCGACGACGGGCGACGAGAAAGCGGACAGAACCGGTCCCGAGTAGGCGGACACGACGGGAGCCGCCACGGTTTTCGATATGATCGGAGCGGAGTAAGCGGACACCACCGGAGAGGAGTACGCCGAAACTATCGGGGCCCCTACGGTCCTAGCCACGATCGGAGACGAGTAAGGGTAGGACGAGTAAGGGTAGGACGAGTAAGGGTGGGACGAGTAAGGGTACGATGAGTAGCTCGAGACGATGGGGGCGGCGTGGGCGAGGTGGGCGTGCGATGCGTAGGGGCTGATGATGGACTTGGAGATGATCGGCGACGAGTAGGCCGACACCACCGCCGGGGCGGCGACGGCGGTTTCTCCGAAGATGCCGGCGTTGGCGTACGCTATGGCGGCGGCGAAAGTTAGAAGCTGAAAGAAATTGTACAGGGTGTTGATTAATAGGTGTGGGAAACTTGAGGGGGTGGTTCTGCGTGAAAAAATGATGATGTTTTGCTATACAGTGAGGACCAGAACTCACGCCCCACCAGGAAATCCCTTATGGAAACGACAATGGAGATGCCAAAACTGCAGTCGAAGGCCAGGAAAAAGTTATTCCTTTGGTAAATAAAGGGGTTCAAAATCGACCAATTCCAGTAGGAATTCAAATCCACGAAAATGACGTGAATTAGCTATACACCAATTTGACATTATTGAAAGATTTTATTTCCTTTTCACTTTCTAGGTTAACAGTAGCTGCCAAAATCAGCTGTGACTATTGATCAAAGATTTGCTTCCAAATCGATCATTCAGGAACTTCGTCGTGCTGATATCAAACCTACATAATTTTTTATCGCTTCAAAAGTGGTTCGAATCGAATGATCCATTTTTTGATCGATTTTAAAGCAAATATTTGATCAATAATTACAGCTGATTTTGGTAACTTTTGTTTACCTTCAAAGTGAAAAGAACATAGAATCTTTCAATAATGTCAACTTGGTGTATAGTTAATTCATGTCATTTTCGTGGATTTGAATTCCTACTGGGATTGGTCGAATTTGAACCCCTTTATTTACCAAAAGAAAAACTTTTTCATGTTTTCCACTGCAGTTTTGGCATCTCCATTGTCGTTTCCATAAGGCATTTCCCGATGGGGCGTGAGTTCTGGGCCACCCTGTATAAACTTATGTCCGGAAATGCTTCGTTTCTGAGATACGGGGTGTTAAAGTTTCTTCACTACTAAATGAAAAATACGCGTCAAGAAATTTTTATTTTTTTACTCGAAAACTACGAAAAATACGCAAGAGAGTTTTAATAAACAAATCATCGGTTTTCAAAAAAAAACTTTAACACTATTAATTATGGTTTATAGTTAAAATAAATTTTGTTTGGCTTACTTTGAACATCTTGTTTGGTATTAGTCGTTGGACGGATTCGAGTGATGTACTGATTTAGTTCTTGTCGTTCGATCGGTTTTTATACGATCCGAAATTGTGGAATTGACTTCTAGGTGGACCACTTCCTTGCATAATAATCTGGTAATATCACAAGGAGATTAGGTAAACAAAACTTTAGGTTTTTTAATTGAGTTCTCGCTTTTCATGGCGCTTTGATTTATTCATCCGAACGTATAGCGTGCGTATATATGAGATATTATCAATTTTACATATTTTATGTATTAGCGCGTGTCGCAATTCCGTTTCGACAGATTTTTCTCGAAGAGCCATGTAACATTTAACGTTTTGAAACCGTGAAATTTTTAATTTAGGAAATCTGATCAAGGTTAAGTTGATGGATAGGTGGTTTTAAGACTTCAATAAAATCTTCCTTTTTCGATTATGTAGGTAGTAGCTATTCCTCATTTCGATTAAAATTTTCCTTTAAAACTGCATCAGATTGCCAAATTTCGTCGTGTTATTTCTGGGACACTCTGTACATAAGTATTTTCTTAATACTCCCTTATTATTGAGTCATAATTTCAAATCAAATTTTGAGTACCTATAATCCAATCCAAAGGGAGTTACATAAAAATAAATCAAAACGATTTCTGTAACAGGTATTTCGTATTAGAAAATCTAATTAATACTGTTAAAGACTAATAAATCTCTAAATTACTACATAAATAATTTGGTTTAGCAAACTTTTAAACATAATAATGTACCTATAATTATCGTATAAATCATAAATTATAATATTTCGTTCGATAATGCTTCAATTTTCTCGATTTAACATACATTATTAAATATCTCTTGCAACATTTAGGACAGTAAAAATTAGCATCCATGGAAATAACCAAGCTATGTTTAGCCGAAAATCGCTTTTAAAACTCATCGAATTTCCATCAGATTTCATAAAACATCCCAACAAAACGTGTTATTTATATATTTTAAACTAAAATGCATTAACTTGCACCGACGTAATCACTCATGCCATTATCGTCTATAATTACTACAACAAGCTTCAACATTAAACAAAACACAACATTGAATGAAAAATCGTTTATTAAAAATGCAATGCCAATTAAATAAATAGATATACAATTAATTTAATACAATAATTAAACCAATCTAATCGATTCACCACTGCTGCCAAGGAGCTCCGGCCGAGTAAGCGGAAACCACCGGAGCTCCAGCCGAGTAAGCGGAAACCACCGGAGCTCCAGCCGAGTAAGCGGAAACCACCGGAGCTCCGGCCGAGTAAGCGGACACAATTGGTGCAGAATAACCGGATACAACCGGACCGTGTCCGGCGTATCCAAGAGGAGCCGAGTAAGCGGACACGCTCTTAGCGTACACCGGCGACGAGTAAGCGGACACCACCGGAGATGCCGAGTAAGCGGACACCAAAGGAGATGCCGAGTAACCGGACACCAAAGGAGCGGAGTATCCAGATACGATTGGAGAGGAGTAGCTGGAGACCAAGGGACCGACGGATTTGGCGACGACGGGCGCTGCTGCTGCGTAGGTGGACACCAAAGGTGCTGCGTGAGATGTGTAGGTGCTGACGAAGGATTTGGAGACCGCTGGTGCGGAGTAAGCTGATACAACCGGAGCTGAGTAAGCTGAGACCACCTCGGGAGCGGCTACGTGGGCTCCGCTGAGGACTCCGGCGCTGGCGTAAGCGAGCACGGAAGCGAAAACGAGTACCTGTAATTCGGTTAATGTGCGATATAACGAATGTTTCTGCTAGTGTTTGAATCGAACTTACCTTGAATGCCATTTTGAGTTGGTTGAAAGTGCCGAGTCGAGCTAGGAACTGATGAAATTGGTATAAATCTGCTCGTATTTATAGTAAGAAAAATCTTACAAAAACTAACCGATGCCTGTAGGTGGACCACTTTTTTTTCATAATGCTCTTAATGTCAAATCGAGATTAGGTAAATAAAAGTTAGTTATATTTCTAATCTTGATGGCCAATCAAACGGGCTCCACTCGTTTTAGTTTTAATAGGAATATGTACGAATCCAGTTCTTGGCCAATTTTGCGAAAGGTCAAGCTCGAATGAAAGGACCGGCCGCTCCCAATGGATGCGTGTAGACTTCCTAAAAAATATATGTTGAATAACTTCACTTACACATATTTACGCAATAACAGAAATGTTAAGTCGTGCAAGAAAAATTAAACTCCTTCCTTGGATATATTATTACACTTGCGTAGAATATTTTATACTTGCAAATATGTAGTAGATTGTAATTCTTTTAGTAACGTGAGAAATCGTTTATGAATTTTGCATGAAACCTCCATTGTCGATGCAATTAAATCAATAGAGATCTACAGCTATGTTGTACATCGATTGTATGCTAATATTTAATAACATTATCAAAAATTCGAAGAACACGCGATACGACAACAGACACTCGAATCTTCCAACTGCTGCGATTCTCTCCGCATTTACATTGTTTAAACAATACAAACTTGGAGTTTAATTCCAACTTTTAATCGTGTTTTTTTGTTAATCCCGCCGTCCTTTAACGTCAAACGCTTGTTAGTCCTGCCTTTACGCAGAGCCAAGCACAATTCTCATTAAGCCACCGCAAATTCCTTCGGATTGTTCGCCGTATTGTACATCTCGCCGTGTCGACTGGCTTAATTTTTAGTTTTTGCCGGTTCCTTTTCGGCTAATCCGCCGGGTCGTGGGCTTTTTAGACGGCCGAGAGGCTACATTAAATTCGGCTTAGTTTCCCGCAAAAACGAATCAATCGATAGCGAGTCTACCAGGATGGAAATAATCGTAGGTGCATGCGAAAAATTAAGGCACGCCTCGGGGGCCTTTGAACCGCTTTAAAGTTTCCGATTGCAGCGGTTTTATTCTTTTCCACTTCGCTCTGAATTGTGACGCTCCTTCGTTGTTCGAGAATGGCGTTTTATTAATAGTAACGGTTTTGTGTGTGGCGCAATTATCACCGGAAGTTATTACCGCTGAAAGGGTGAAGAGAAAGCTTCTGCCCCGGCTAAAATGGCCATCGAATGTAGGTTACTTTTAATTTATTTAAATCGCACCAGATCTGTGAATAATACGTCGGTCCGGAGATGTTTTATTCAACGGCGCGCCATCAATATTTATTAGAATAAAATAAGTTGTATTATGCTGCGAAAATTAGGAGAAAACGCGTCGAAAAATCGGATTTTTCATTACATATTCATTATGTAGATTACGAATTAATCCGATGAAAAAAAGCATCTTTATTTAACCCGGATCAATCACTATAAGCTACTTGTTGTCTCGTTGCTTTTTTCCTTACATTGTAAACCAATTAGTTCCAATTAAGAAGGATAATTAATTCGAGTAATAGTATAGAAAACCCACTTTCGTATCAGCGCCCGCGGCCGGAATTTAACCATTTGGTTCTATTATAAATTAAACAAAAATCGCATCGGCGAAACGGGTTTCAATCGGCAATTACCTGAAAATGTGATATACCGAAGATAGCCATCATTCTTATTCAATATCCACTTTATAGCCATGAAATTCATACCGGTGTTCGGTACTAAACTTTAATACGAGTAAATTGAGTTATTAACCCGACTGAAATAGTCGTATATAAACTAAATATATCTACTTATCTACGATAAGAACTTATGAATTATCAAAAAAAAATTAGATATAGTATTTTTATTATAAGCAGCACATGACGACAAACTACAGCATTGTTGCCAAGTTGTAATATTTTTCGCTCGTTCCACGATAATCAACGATCAATAGCCGAATTAGCGTTAAAAAATAGATCGTATAATGGACCAAACGGCGTCCGATCGATGCCGCATAGTAATATACAGTACCTCGACGAGATAAGGAACCGCGAGAGCTAGATCCGCGGTACTCAACTCACGCGATCTCGGTTTAGTTTAGTTTAATCTCGAGTTTTACCGCGATCGGTCACAAGTTACCGGATCTCCGATACACAACGTGCCGTCGTATACGGGAGATTTCAACGCATCGTTCGGATCCGCGATTTGGTAGGGTGGAATTCGTCGATCGAACCTTCGATTTGGTTCATTTTATAAAATTTTAATACGTTGTGATTGACTACATCGTCGCAAAGTCAAGTTCGATTCGCGCGCTATTTATACTCGAAAATTTACAACCGTATTGTGGTCGAAACAAGACCGTCTGTACTAGTAAATAGAAGATAACGCGAAACGAATCGCGGAAATGACACATTCGTGAAATTGGTACAATAGAAAAAGTCGCCATTAGCGCGACTAGATATCGAGTGTTCTAAATATGGATTCGATCGACGAGCCGGCGATTTTAACAAGATGAAAACGGCAGTGTTGTGCACCGTGATCGCGGCGTCCCTAATCTGCGAGGTCCTTTCGAATATCGACGCGTCGCCGCAGGAACCCCCGCACCGGCCGGGCGGGTCGCACAGGAAGCACAAGCACCGCAGGAAATCACCGGAGCGATTGGTTCGGTGCAAACGCTACGAACTCTACAACTATCGAATCTATCCCGATGGAATTCCTTCGCCGTACCTGCGACCGCAGGTGTACACGCCGACCCGGTGCTACACCTACTGCAATCCCTGCCCCACGTCGACGTGCTTGAGAAGGTGCCCCAGCCGGGATATATTCTATCCCAGCGTGAAGCCCTTTTGGCCCGAGCCTATAACCAGAAGACCGCCGGCGAGGACCACCGAGCGACCCACCAGGCCATACAAGCCTACTCCATCCAGATCGACTCCATCCAGATGGACTCCGTCCAAGTCGACTGCATCTAGGACCACTCCGTCCAGATGGACTCCGTCCAAGTCGACTGCATCTAGGACGACTCCGTCCAAGTCGACTGCATCTAGGACGACTCCGTCCAGGTGGACACCATCTAGGACGACTCCATCTAGGACGACAACATCTAGGACGACTCCATCTAGGACGACACCATCTAGGACGACACCATCTAGGCCGACTCCATCTAGGACGACAACATCTAGGACGACTCCATCTAGGACGACACCATCTAGGACGACACCATCTAGGACGACTTCTAAGGGTACGAGAGTTGCCGATTTTCGAACTAACGCACTTGACATTCTATTGAAAATTCCTAAGGTCGGATGATTTAGTTATTATGCGAGCTTATCAGAAATTGCGAAGCGCAAATAACACACCTGGCCAGTCCTTTGAAACAAAAAAAAATGGGTGTACCTGTGTAATTTATTTCGATAGAGTGGTCGCGAAAATTAGAGGATGGCTTCGAGATGGATATATCAGATAATGGGGCGCGAAGGTCCGGACCCGGACCGGGAGGTTCTCACCCTGTACGCGGAGAAAATAAATTTTATTAAGTACCGCGACGCGGAATGTTCGCGTATGAATAGAAATTGTTTTCCGACCAAACGCAACCGTAATCCCGAATGAATTACTTCTGACTTTTTGTCATTTATATCTCGGTGTGTTATTGATTGCGTGCACTGCGGATGGTACTGCATAGCATCGGGATCGTGCCTCGGAAATTTTTTACAAACGATTCTCCTTCTACCAGCCAGCTATTAATAATAATATGGTTCAATATTTATTCCATTGAAATTCTAATTGCGCGTATAATCAAATTCGTACGATTTTCTTCTTTGGTATATCTACCTTGCAATACTCTCCGATTATCCATGGGAATATTTCGCATAAAAGAGCTCAGTTCGAGGTACATACACCGAGCATATTAAACGCACTCACATACGCCGTACATCATGAATAGTTTACAACGAGGAAAAGACCAAGTGGATATGCCGACTGTACGTCTGCGATACAGATGCATTTAATATTTTCCTAATGGGTGGAAGTGTACGCGGTATTAAATTGTCCATACAGGACGGCCGACGAAAATATTTTCACCTCGGTCGGAATTCAACCTCTTCGAGGCTTCGAAGGTAATCGCCCAAAAGTTTCCTTCGGATAATTAGACGCCCGCGACCACTTAAAGTAACTCTAAAGTACCACTTAACGTTGCAAGGAAGTAGAGTATAAAGTTGTTTAAAAGTAGTGCGTAAAAATGCAATTGTAAAAAATAATCGCCCTATTTATTGCAATGCAAGTGGGTATGTTATGTTATAGACTTAAAGCGTGCCTAATCTGATTTCGGAGAAACGTGGTAGTTCTAAGTAACTCTATATTCGTTTTGCATTCAGGAATATGGATCGTGTAGGTGCTTGTTTGCAAATTCGTACGCTTATTCAGCAACAACTAGCTTACTATTTCACGTGTTCCAACACTTAGATATAATATTACAATTACGAATAACGAGTATAGTAGTAAGAGGAGAGAATTGTTGAAATGTATTTTATAAATAACTCTTCCAGCCAGTGCATTCCCATTATTTTCTATTATTAGAATAAAGTTGTCATTAGAAGGTGAAGGTAGTTTACAAGCCTATTACTTAACGATCAACATTAGTATACGCTTAAACGGCCTCCTAATATATCATTGTTAATGTGGACTCTTCCGGCGCGAGATAAAATCGTAGTTTTGTTTATCGCATTCAAATTAAAATTCTTCAGATATCTCGTAGATCAGTAAACCCTAAAACAGATTACCTGCTAATGAGACTGGCAGGAGCAACCGCACTTGGTCTATCCGTATATACACAATTAGGGAATTCCTGGTGTTTGGCGTGAAATTAATTTCGATTCATCGCGTGAAATTCGTTGCGAATAATTAATTTACGATGCGAAAAATTGACCAACTGACAGTATAAAATTGTCGGTAATTCTTAGAGCATAGAAATTTAATAGAAGAGGAAGTAACGAGACGGGTTCTTGCAGAAGATTCACGACGGAACAAACATATAGTACAATGGCTCGTTTCAGTGTCGGATTTGAAATTTTCTTGCGCGCAATTCGATAAAAGAAATTCAACTCTCTCGGAAGCACCGCGACTGGTAATGAGTTATAATTACGAATCCATGGCGTATTTCGTGGAATAGATCGTGCATGTGATGTGCATTACACGGAAGATTAAGCTTCAATATGAGAGATTAAAATGGGGTTTACGTGTTGGTAAAGGAAAACAATTTATACAATAAAGTTGTAATTATCCTTAACGTCGGAAAGGAGAACGCGCACTCCGATGGGAGATTAAAAGGGGGATGTCCTTCGTCGTCCGACGGAAATAGATTTCTAATTTTTCTCTCGTTTATATGAATGCTCATTAGAACATTCATAAGCAGATCTCGATTAATCTGGCGTAATGAAATTTCCTAACAAAAACCAGATCAATATTTAACGAGCAAGAAGTTAGTGCGATCGAAATTTTTTATTACCCGTTTCATAATTTCGTTCTATACAAATCGACCCGTTTATATAACGCTAGGAAATTCGAGTAAAATCGTACCTACTTTTTAACGGCTGAACCAATAAAACCAAGAGAATTAGGTAATTTCAAATGATAGATAAAACTCAACTACGATGATTGTGTCATTGATCATTTCTAAAAATAAACGATCCACTTTCAATTGCTGAAATCCACTATCAGAACAAATAAACGATCATTATCTATAGTTTGTACAGTTTATAAAGATGTACTGATTAGTTTATTTGATTTTATTTTATTGCAAAAAGCTACTTAAATAAACCAAAATAATTATACAATGCGTTGGAAAGCGGATATTTACCGGCACCCCTATAAGCGCCTTCGGGTTTAAAAGAGCCGCAATATTTACTTTCGAAAGAGACATTTCAAAATAGAGGACCGAGAAACATGTCTTGTAACTAAATTTGTTTCGTAATTTAATTTATCTCGCTACTTAGGAACACGCGTCTATTTTTACCTATACTCCAAAGCGCGGTTACTCTATTTTAAAAGATAATCCACGCATTACGTTGAAACTTCGAAATTAACGATCCACCGCCGATGCTTTTGTGGTGATTTGTACCGAAGGTTTCTTTTAGGTATATTTTGTTGTTAATCGCCGGATTAGGATCTTTAGAAATAGTCTGTTGAATTAAAAAAAAACATAATACACCGGGAATAAGCTTTTGCACTTTTCACGTGTTTGTTGTATATTATATTTTCCAGAACACGGAAATCCAACATTAAATGTAGCATCATGCCGCATTTCGTTAAGTGCGAGTTTGCGATATATTACGTGGTCAGATGCGAACGGGAAGTTTATAGAGTTGTATATTCCGCGCGTCTATTTCCTGGTTTATTTCGAACGAAATTTTCCAGAAAAAAATTATCCCGCGGGTGAGTGTATAAATTTATTCGTCTCGTGATAATACTCGTAGTAAATTCAATTAATCGATTTTGAACGGATTTTTTACGGATGTATTGTATCTGTTTTTTTTATTATATAGGTGTCGACAGGTTTAGATTGAAATTACTCCCGCGGTGATTGATGATTTTTGTCTATTCATCTGATGGTATTGTACGCGGAATTTTAGATTGACATCAGTTTGGATACGTCCGTCGATATCCAGTGTGTAAATGTGTAAAACGCGTCCGTATTGTCGTCGGATATTGTTCTGTTTGTGATGTATACGCCGCCGATTCCATTTCCAATTTTAGTTGAGTAAAAATCTAATTCAAATAGAAGCAAATTTTGTACACATCTCGAATCTGACATTCATTCTCCGGCGTACATTTAACGTTTATTTCAATGTCTTCTGAGAAATTACCGGAGCAAGCACCGTCTATATTGCAACGTAATTTTCTTTTTTCGTTTTGAAAGAGCCCTCTTATCTGATTATATGAAGTTTTTAGTATCACAATTTAAGCCAGGCATTACCGTTTCCGATATTGCGATACGCTTTGAGACCTCGATGGTATCGATGAGATATTAGATGTTTTATTGGGCGTGGGATTTAATCGTGTTATAAGTTATTGTTGTCCATTATATAGAGGAATTCTTTTCGCCGACGTTGCAGATTTGTTTGGATTTTAGTGTAATTTCTGAATAAGGAGATGTATTAGTAGGTATAGCTCGAAGCGTGTTGTTTACCAAATAAATATTATTGTAAATTATACATTCTAAGATCCGAGATGATTATTTATTAATGTCGGATTACTGTTATTGGATTTAATAACGCGCGTGTTACTGGTTCATTAGGAGATAGTTTATTTCCTATTATTCACTCGGATTGCAACATTCTCGTCTATCCTACGCGAAAGAATAATAAATGAATGGACCGAAACCGGCATAATAAAAGCTACCGATTATGCCCTTATAAATCTAAACTTATTTCCTCGACTTTTACGAAAACCGAGCACCTACAATCATTGTTTCCTCTCGGATGTTTGTCGTTTATTTACGAGAACAATTTATTGTTTAATCAACGACCCACCTACGGTCCATCGACGGAGTCCGTTGGCACTTGAACTCACCTTTTCGAACAACCACCACCTGACCAGGCCGATGGGTTGTTCCCATTCAACGAAAAATCCTCCGGTATTTTCTGACACCGAATCAATATTGTAAAACATTCGAAAACGAGACGTGGGTTTGATAGCCCGCGACTTCTGGAACTTGTCTTAACGCGCGTTCGAGTGCTCCGAAAACAATGAATAATATCGTACCGCCCGAGAGATGTTTTTGGTAACCCGCTTTTGGTGAAGAATGTTAAATGGTGTAGGCGACTAGTGTAGATAGGGAGTAAAATGATTTTTTCCTCGGGCGTGTGAGAAATCGCCGTTTCTTGAGTAAGATGCATGATGGACGTGATAGAGTTTGTTTATCGATCTATTAGTTTTTTCCTTTCGTATTAGCGGTCTAGTTACGTCAGTTTAAATGCAAATCGGATATTAGTTATGTAAGTTTTGTCGTGTATTTTTTTGTCATTTCGCGTCCGTTTGTGAGGAGAAAAGCCACCGATCATAAATCAAACCGAGTCGCTGCGTTTTAATTATTCTTATATTGTTACATTCTAGAAAATCTTGTTCTAAGATTTTTTTTTAATTCGCGATCCGCCAACTTATCGGCCGTAATTCATCGGAGCTGGCGTAAAAACACGGACGCGGTAATTTCATGCAAATTACTGTTTATTTTATAATTGCTTTATTTTAGTTTATTATTTTTTTCATCGGAATAAAATCAATCGGCATTTCAATATGCCTACACATTGTATAACCGACATAACTTTCTCTAAAACATGCAGATAAACCGAATGATGAATTAAGATGTTATATTCATGAGAAATGTAAGGCATTCATGCTTGAATTTTTTTTTATCAAGATAGATAAATGCCTACAGATAAGTACGCTCGATTTAAAATGTGTTTGGCTTCATTGTTAATATCAAATGTTTCATTTATGACTTATTATCTTGTACAAATAAGCAGGATCATTAGTTATATAATTTTCGAATAACTGTCGTGGAAATAGTAATGTGGATAGTCGGGAAAATATGGCAAGTGTACACGCTGACCCTTCGATGCCGAAGATGTACAAATCAAGAGTTAATAACAACAAGCGGCCGTAAATCCTCGGCGGTTCGATTAGGAAAATAAGGTGGTGACACCTCGGCAATAAATAACAAGCCGAGCGCCTATATGCAATTGCTTCCTTCTGAAAATTGTGTGGTATATCTATTTTAAAACAGTCCTCCGTTTCGTACGGAATAAATTACAACAGTCGAAACAGCGCTTCCATTAAAACGGGATATTTCGTTTCGCAAAACACCGAACAATTCGCGCTGTTGTTTATTATTTATAGACCTGCTAAATAGCAAATTGAGGAATATAAAAATGCGGTAATTTTGCCATAAGAAAATAATGGAAAAGCCGCATCGCGGCCGTTCCGAAGCGATAATTGTAACGAGACACCTCTGTTATCTGCGATCGTATACGAGCTGAGCAGCTCGAATGAATGGAAATTCCTCTATAATTACTTAATACTTTTAAAAGTTATCGCCGCGCGTTTTGCGCTCGCCAACAAATTGCTTTTTTACGAATCGATCGAATCCCACTTCGAACATTTACGCAACAATTATAAGAGCATTTAAAAACGTTAATTGATGCCGGAAGAGCGGAAACTCGCGCGGGAAATCGTCTTTTCAATTCGAAAAATCGCCTCGAATGTGACTAGTTTCTCTTAGGAATTGTGTTACTTTCGAACAAAGTGTCGATAAGCCGCTAGTCATTGGTGAGCTTTTAATTTTTTTCCTTCATCGAGGAGGTCGCTTATCGGCATTGTTTATTAGGTGAAAGCAACTATCTATATTTTTCTTCTACTCTTCTGTACGACTCTATATTTGGCCGGTGAAATAGATCCGAGCGTGCGTCCCGTCGCGCGGAAGATATCAAAGACTATTTACATTCGATGATGGGGCCAGATAGGCACCGATCGCACGGTAGATTTAATTTAGCTCTTTTTTAAATGGTTCTATTATTCAAAAACCCGCCTTCGATTATTTTCGACCGTAAATCGTCCGCTCGATCGTCGCCAGATAAGGACTAGTTTAATAAGGATTTCTTCTCGCGTGAACTCGAATAAGAATCCACTGTAAACAGTGCGAGTTATCTATTCTGTTAAATAATAGCGGATGAGATCGGGGGGGCGTTAACTGGAGATTCCGTTCCGTCGTGGTGCTGTTAGATCTAACGTGAAACATCTCAAGGCGTCAGGTAATTGAAATAAGAGAGATTTATCACATAGGGTGGGCCAGGAAGTGGTTAAGTATACACACAAGTCTAGGTACTATTACCATTTCATTTTCAACTAACGTTTGATTAATAACTGTCTGGTAATTGGTTTAATTATACTATTCTTTTCAGCTTGCGCTTGTGATCACGATGGATCAATGTTCTTAACTTGCAATCAAACGACAGGGGCATGTTTCTGCAAGCAGCATTTTACTGGATTCGATTGTAGCTCTTGCGAGGTATAATTGTTTTGAATAGGGGAATTTTTAAGCAGCTTTTATATCGTTTAAATTACAGGATGGTTACTGGAAGAAAAACAAAGCCTGCGCGGAATGCAAATGCAACAAATTCGGCACTTTACCGAACACTACATGCGACAAAGAAACGGGAAAATGTAGATGCAAAGCCGGCGTGACGGGCGACCAGTGCACGAGCTGCCTGCCCAATCACTACGGCACCATTCAAACCGCTTGTAAACGTGAGTTTATCGAATTCGAACCTCTACAGTTTGAATTACCAGCGCTCTTAATTTTCGCAGAATGCGACCCGTGCGACGAAAAGGGCCACATCTGCGATCCATCCAACGGAAAGTGCGTCTGCCCGCCGCTAACGACGGGGAAAAACTGCGAAAATTGCAGCGACAACTCGTGGGGCTACGAACCCGGCCGGGGATGCAAAGTAACACCCCTTTTAAACTCTATTAATTTCACAATTACCCATCGCGATTGTTCCAGCACTGCGATTGCTCGCCGACGGGCAGTTCCAGCCGACAGTGCGACCGAACGAGAGGCCTCTGTTCGTGCAACGCCGGCTTCGAAGGGGAGAAATGCGACCGGTGCAGCTTCGGCTACTTCGGTTATCCGCACTGCGAAAGGTGCACTTGCGATTCGTTTGGAACGCGCGAGGATCGTTGCCAGCACGGTCTCTGCAAGTGCGACGATGGCGGTACTTGCGAGTGTAAGGTGAGCGAAGTTAAACTCATAATTTTGCGCCTGAGAGTCGGACTAATTCGGAACGATTCGCGTTGCAGGAAAACGTGCGAGGGAAACACTGCGACGAATGCAAGCCGAAACATTACGGATTGTCCAAGGAAAACGCGAAAGGTTGCACCGAATGCTTCTGTTTCGGTAGAAGTAATACTTGCCGTGATGCTCAACTTCACTGGAGTAAAGCCACTCGATTGGTTAGACCTTTGGAAGAAGACAATCGAGTAAGTTACCGACCGACATCTCCGCGATGCATCCGTTTAAATTCGTTTTTCTATCAGATAACCGAAGATGAGTTGAGCCTGCCTAAGGCGTTCTTGGGCGATCTCACCTCGTCGTACGGAGGCCATCTGGAGGTCGAAGTGGAAGTGGACGATGGATTTTTCGATTTGCATTTGGAAGGCAACAACGTGAAACTGGCCCTGAAAGACGTCCGCAGGGAACTGCGAATGACGGAGTCCAACAAATGGAAGGTATCGTCGAGGAACTTGGATTTTCCCGTCGATTGCATCGATTACCTGACCAGACCTTGTTTCATGGTCGTCCTGCAAAACGTCACTTCGTTTGTAGTCAAAACCAACAACAGGTGAATGCTCGTTAATCGCCGCATTCGAGATTATTATATAAAAATTGGATTTTTTAGAATTACGGAGGTGCTGCTGGACAAGGCGAAGAGCGAGAATTCCGCCCATCGCGTGACCCATTCGGTGGAGCAATGCGATTGTCCGCCCCAATACGCCGGTCTATCCTGCGAAGATCCCAACGAAGGCTACTACCGGTACTTGCCCGACGATTTCGATCTACCATGGATCGATCGCGTCATCGGCATCGCCAAGAAATGCGAATGTCGCGGCCATTCCGACGCTTGCGATCCCGAAACGGGCCATTGCAAAGTAAGTAAATTCGAACGCTAATCCGCATTCAAACCTAACGAAATCGTTGCGCAGAATTGCACCCTTCACACCACCGGAGAACATTGCGAAAAATGCGACGACGGCTTCTACATGGACAACGAAGAGCGATGCAAACCCTGCCTTTGCCCGTCTGCCGATGTCAATAACGCCAAAACTTGCGCTCCCGCGGCCGGTGGAGACTTTACATGCATTTGTAAAAAAGGTACATTATCTCAAGAATACATTATCTTACAATACACGATGCATTATCTCATTTATACATCGTCCAATCGATGCACGCTACATTATCTTAATTATATTTAAAAGGGTCTACTCTGGAAGGTCTTGCGATAAATGTAATTTGCATTTTAGCATAGTGAATTAAGCAGTATAGTACATTATCTTATTACTGACTAATACATTATCTTACTAATGCATGATATCTTAATTACGTTTTAAGGATACACCGGAAGGTATTGCGATAAATGCGACTTGAAGTATTACAAGCCGCCGAAATCGAGCCTTTGTATACCGTGTAACTGCAACGAGTTTGGAGTCGTGCCGGGCGATGTAGACACCTGCGATGAGAATGGAAAGTGCCGGTGTAGAGAGGGATTCACCGGCGAAAAGTGCAACAGATGCGCTAAGGAACGGGAGTACATCGAGGACGGAGTGTGCAAACGTATGAAAATCCTTCCTACTATAATCGAGAAGTTGCGTAGAATTTGTAAATTTGTTTCAGCTTGCGGTAGATGCGCGATGTTGTTGTTCGGCGAGATTGATAACATGAGAGAAGGTATCGATAGTATATACGATATGTTCAAAAGCGGCGTCGGCCCGCCGTGGAAGAAACTGACGGATGATTTGGAGAAACACGGCATGCTGTCGGAGAAGTACAAGAAGAAACAAGGGCAATACGAGCGGTTGTTGGGCGAGAACGAAATCGAGAAACTCGAGCGTAAAATCGACGATATGGAGGAGGAGGTGCGGGGCAACAACGATTTGTTGGAGGAAATTATTAATGACGCCGATAAACTCAACGATAATTCCACGAAGCTGCTCGGCGAAACCGATAACTTGGGCAAGAAATTGATAGACTTGATCGGATCGCTGGAGAATTTCGGTACGAAGCACGTCAATCTGAAGGAAGCTCTAGCGAAGGCTAGGGACGTTTTAAAGCGCATCCAGAAGGCTTCTAAAACTGTGAACAATTTAAACCGCACGGACATCATCGATTATTGCACGGCGATTAACGAAAAAGTCGATCTGATCTACGGAAAACCACCAACGATGCCTACCAGCAGGATAGAAGACTTGAAAAAGAAACTCGACAAGCTCTTCGACCTCGTCACTTTCGTGGAAAACGTTATCAAACTGGCCGATAACACGAACATCAAAAACTCCCGAAGGCTGGAATCGGTGAAAGAAAAAATCGAAATACTGAAGAGCAAAAACAAGCACTTGAACACCTCGTTTAGCGCCATTATTAGCAAATTGAACGCCACCGAAGACGTGCTGGAGAGCCTCGAAAAAGTATACGGAGATTTGCTCAACATTTCGAACTTCAAAGAGTACGAACAGCTCGAAACGCGAATCAAACGACAAATGGTGGAAATACCCGAAGTCCAATCGTTGTACGACAGAGCCATCGGACACGTCGAGGAACTGGAGCGAAAAGTCGAAGCCTACCACAGGTATAATTATCGCAATAAAGGAATTGATTCATCTAAATTTAACTATTTCAGTTTGTTCAATTTCACCAAGGACGAATGGAAGAAAATCAACGCGAGCGGCGCCTACGAGGCCGTCATCAACGGGATATCCGAAGCGCGCGATAATCTCGACCAAGCCAAGAAAACCCTTCGAAAAATCCAAAACCTAATTCTACCTGAAGGTTCCGATAACCTCGACACCAAAGCCAACTTGGCCCAAACCTACTCAGACAGGCTCAAAACGCGCATAAACAACTTCAAAGACCTTTCAAAGAGTAAGTAATTCCACCGTTTCTCGTATCCAGGAATTCTCTTTATTAACATCGTTAACATTACCATCATCATCGTCCATCGATCCTGGCTTAATCCAGCCCTGCGAACGACCCTTCTGCGGCCCTGATTTCGAGCGAGGTTTTCAGGTTTGAACGACATGAAGCGGCGCATCGACCATCTGAAAGACGGCATTCGCGACAACGGCAAATCGAACAACGAGTTGCTCCAGAAGCTGATCAAAACCGACCAGCACGTCGCCTCGCAGGCCGATCGCTCCGCGAACATAGAAAAAGCCATCCGCGGCGTCTCCGACGTGTCCGAAGACATGCGCGAGGTCTACAAGAAAGTCGACGATCTCGCCTTCGACAAGCAGTTCAACTTCGACAAGAAGTACCAGAAGTACCGGGAGCAGACCGAGGCGAAAGGTGAGTGGCGTTAGAAGCATCGAGCGCGTTAGATTCTATTTTTATATATCTAGAAATTAAGCATTTGAATGCGGATTTGAAATCGGCGCGGGTCGCTCTGAAAAGCTTGCGAATCTCCCAATCGACCGACGATAGTAAATCGCGCGAGGGGCCCGGCAAAAGATTCGAAGACTTGAAGACGAAAACGCAGCAACTCGAGAATCTGATTAATTTGGCCCGGCAGCAGATCGATGGGGTGAGTTTAGCTTTCTCTCGATTTTTTTTGGTGGTTTTTTACGCGTTGATTTGTAATCAGGTGGACGTGCCGATGAGCCTGAGGAACTGCCACATGACCTACAAACCGTCCAAGAAGGAATACTTCGAGAGTTTATCGATAACGTTCAATTGCGATGATTGTACGCTGTTCAATTGGACGAAACCGAGGGAAACCAACGAGGAATCTTTAATAGTGAAAGTTAAAGACGAGAATATTATAACTAGCATCGATGGTGAGGATATTGTTATACGCAAAACCGCTGATGGGGAAAATACTATCGTTATACAAAAGTAAGTTTGTTAAATAAATATATAAAACGAGTACATTAAAATGTTTATTTTGCTTGTTACAGAACTGGTACACTGTTGAAGTTACAACCCGGCACCACAGCGGAGAGAAGCAAGAAATTGAGCAGCACGAAAATCATCAATTTGAGCGATAATATAGAAGTAGGGAGAAACGATTCTGGAAGCGAATCGGACGGCTCCTACGTGTACAAAATAATACTGAACGGGGAGACTTTCGGGCTGTGGAAATTCGCCGAAACCAACGGAAAATGCAAGGGGCACAAAAGGTGAGCGAATCCTCTTTATAACAAGCATATAAGTATCGATATTTTTTAGAAATGCTACCGTCGATGAATATCTGAACACCATGTTCAACGGTAAAGGGTACTTGGAGTACGGGCCCAACTCCAATTTGGACCCCAAGCAGTTTTCGATACGCTTCAGATTCAGCACGTTCGACGAGAACAGCCTCATTTACGTCGGAGCGCACGTGAGTAAACCGAAATTAAATATCAGCGATCGAATAACAGTGAATTTTTAGCTACCGACTTGCTCGTACATCAAATTATACCTGGAAAACGGCCTGGTGAATTTCCACAATCGGTTCACCAACAAGGAAATCGTCACCCTAACACCGGACCCTACCACCAATCCCCGAGTGAACGACGGCAAAAGCCACCTGGTGGAAATCAGCTGGGAACTGCAAAAAATCCAAAAACTTTACATCACCTACACGCTCACAATAGACGATAAAATCGTGTCGACGCATCAGAGACAAATAGCCCGCAACAACGTGTTCAAAATCAAAGAAACCACGCACTATTTAGGCGGAGTCCCGCCGACGTTCGACGCCTCTTGCGTACCGATCGACAGACCTCCGTTCCTCGGATTCCTCGAATTGAAAACCCAGCTGAACAACGCCAACATCTCCTACGGCATCACGAAAACCAGAGTAAGTTACCGAAAGTTACCGACTTTCCCGCCTAACTAACGCGTTAATCCGCAGACTTTGGCGTTCGGTCACGCGTGGATCGGCCGAAACGGCTACTTGCGCTTGGATTTCCCGCAGGAGCGCCTCGAAAACATCGATTTCGTCGTCAGGCCGGCCGTCGCCCGCGGAACGTTGATCAAATTCAACGACGAACAGAGCATCGACATCGCAGGCTCCGATATCGCGATCGCCGGCGTCGTGAACGGCTCGAATATGATCCTCGACGATTACAACACCGTCGAATTGAGACTCGGCAAAACGAAAGAGTTGATAGTTAACGGAAAATCGCAACTACTTACCCGAAAACCGGATATCGCGCTCGAAGCGCTGCAATTAGGTGAAATCGACGGCGAATTCGTCGGGGGAATCAGAGACTTGAGGATCAACAACAGGTATATTTCTATAGGTCTGCTCTTGTAGCTTCGATTAACTTCTACTATACGCGTTTTTAGAGCGATCCGGTTCGATAATACCTCGGTGAAGTCGTTTAGGAACGTGGAAATCGGCAGGGAGAAGGCGCTGGAAGCGGACACCGTCGACATGAGGAGCCTGTCGATGGTGAATTTGTCGAATACGATGCAGAACACCGATCGGTGCATCGACTTCGACGGCAACGACGTCGAAAAGGACGCGATCAAGTTCGGCGACAGGCCGAACAGTTACACGTACATAGCGAGCAAATTCTGGCGCGGCAACTTCACCATCCAGTTCGATTTTCGCACGTTCTACCCCGACGGGGTGCTCTTCGTATCGGTATTGAAGAAACGAGAAATTATCGCGCGAGTTGTCGTTTGGTAATCGTTGCGAATTTGTAGATCAACAAGCGGAGAAACTACGTGTTGCTGGAATTGAAGGACGGGCAGTTGCGGTTGAATATCGAAGGTAGGAAGAAGAAGGTGAAGACGTTGCCTATTAGCTCCGATAGCAGGATGAACGACGGTAATTGGCACAATATTCGGTTGACGAGAAAATTGAAGAAACTTACCGTCATCGTCGATAAGGAGAGCAAACCGAGCCGTTTGAATATGAGATTCAAACCCAAGGATGAAATCTACTTCGGAGGCGTACCGTCCAACTCAGATTACGTTCTTATACCTGATCTAGTAAGCGATAAAATTTGTTGTAAATTTAGTTTAATACAATTTTTTTATTACAGAAGAGCAGGTTGATTCCTTTCAGAGGTTGCATGAGGTCTCTAGAAATCAACAACGAGCGGCAATTTTTGATAAACAACAAAAACGTGCAACATTCCAACATCACCTTATGCTTCTCCAAGCTAGAAGAAGGTGCTTATTTCGGAGGAGATGCGTTCGCTGTATACAGTAAGTAATAACTCTAATTAACTAAGAAATAACCAAAGAAAACTATGAAACAACTAAAGAATACTAAGAAACAACTAAAGAAAACTAAGAAACAACTAAAGAAAATTATGAAACTAAAGAGAACTAAGAAACATTTAAGGTAGACTGGGGCAAATGTAAAAATTGGGTAAATGTAATATTTTTACCTATTATGTTAATGTTTTTTATTATTTTTATAGTTCTTTTGTGCATTAGACAGGGTTTGTTTCTTATTTTTTCTTTATTATTTTGTAGCTCTGTTATTTTTTGAAATAAATAAATAAACAGCATATCAAATTTTAAAGGAACAAAATAAGTATTTACAATTGCCCCTTATGTTTTTCTATATAATTGTGTTGTCTCTTTAGAACCCCATGGTACGGGGTTAATGTAACATATTGTCAACATTTTAAAAAATATGTAAAATCGTTTTCTTCCTTTTTCAAAAAAACTTTTTATGCCTCGATTCTTTAGTTTAGGAAGTTGTGAATTTAATGTGGTATCAGCATTTCTAATAAGAGAAAAAATAAAGCCACATTTTAGAATTTAATTTGAACTATTCAAATTTTACAACCGATTTGCCCCAGTCTACCTTAAAGAAAACTAAGAAACAACTAAAGAAAACTATGAAACAACTAAAGAATACTAAGAAACAACTAACGAAAACTAAGAAACAACTAACGAAAACTAAGAAACAACTAACGAAAACTAAGAAACAACTAACGAAAACTAAGAAACAACTAACGAAAACTAAGAAACAACTAACGAAAACTAAGAAACAACTAACGAAAACTAACAAACGACTAACGAACGTTTATTTGCAGAAGAGGATTTCCAAATCAGCGAGATGCTGGAGTTCGCCTTCGAGTTCCGGACGTCCGAGCAGAACGGGATCCTGCTGAGCGCTTCGAACTTCGGAGACTATCCGGCGCTGTCGGTGGAACTGCAAAACGGGGCGATAGTGATGGCGGTGAATTTGGGCAACGGGGCCGTCACCAACGTGACGAACAACCTGAATTCGGACATCGCCCTGTGCAACAACCGATGGCACAACGTCACTGTCGTGTATTCGAGCGCCGAGCTGACGGTGAACGTGGACGGGATCCGGAAGAGTTGGGTGCAGAACGACGCCAATTCGACGATGGACGAGTTGGAGGCGCCGTTGTATGTCGGGGGATTACCCGGTAATTTTTGCTATTAATTATTTGCTGAAATGTGCGGTTATATTTGGTTGTTGTTGCAGATGACGCGCCTGTGGGAACGTTGAAGACTTTGACGAATTTCAGAGGATGCATAAGGAAATTGAAAATCGAAAATCAATTGACTGATTGGTCGGAAATGGATAGTTTGAATAACGTTTTGTTGGATTCTTGTCCTGTATCGGAAATTAGCTAAAAGGCGGATGTGGATTAATTTTAATGGAAAACGAAACCAAATTTACACGTTCGATGTAGTATTATATGCCATAATTGTATCTACTTTTATACTCTATTTAAAAACTAGGAGGAGCATTTTAAGAAGACTGACTTACACCCAAACTGGAAAATTTGTAAGAATGCAAATTTAAATGCACATTTTTCATTTAAATATAATCGAATGTAAACCCACCTAATTATTTTAAAAAAAGGAACGAATTAACAATAATAACTCGTAATAAACCAATAAACAAACGCGAGTGTTGCCAACTTAAAGTCAAATCGCTCCTAGTTTTTAAATAGATTATAGTAAATAGCACTGCCATTGTATAATTTTGTAAATAACTATTTAATTTTTGTACAACTGTTATACGAATAGTTCAAAGATGTAAGTAATTGTCGCTATTTTTGTACATATAGTTCCACTTTCGAAAGTACTTATAATGTTGTAAATGAAATAAATTTATAATGTTTATCTATCCGTCGATTTAAACAACCCCCAAAAAAGAAACTTTCATCGATAGTAAGCGATAGCAATTCGATCGCAATTCATCAGATAAAATTTTTATTTTAATAAAATATAAAATATCGATTAAAAATACTAAATTTATCCTTAAAACTAACTTCAAATTCAAACCAACTGCGACAGATCGTCCAAAATGGGGGATTGCTGTTGCTGGACGAAATTTTGCTTGGAAATCAACACGGTGTTACCCGGACTGCCGGCGATCTGTCCCTGCACGTTGCCTTGGTTCGAATTCACCACCACCAATTTCTGCTGCGAGGCCAGCTTCGGTTGCTGGTTCGTATTTGAAACGAATTTCACCACCGTATTCTGCCCAGCGGGGGCGTTCTGTTGGATCTGGTGCGACGAGCTCATCGGAGTCTGCGGTCGTTGCGTCACAAACACGAATTTCTGATTCGATTGAGCCATTTGCGCCCTCGGTGTGGTATTCATTACGATCGTTCGACTGCCACTAGACGTTTGCTACGAAAACAAATCGATTATAAACTATTTCTTTTATTAAAACCACGGGACTATATTTCTGAGGTCTGGAAACGTCCTATGATTTTGAATTAGAGAATGTGTCTCAGCCAATCAGCGTCGCGCTACATATAAATCGCGGTTGCGTGAAACGACAGTTTGAGCTGTCAAAAGTGTCAAAAATTATTTTTTGACATTTCGATGAGAAAATGGAGAAATATATTAACCGAAGATACGCGAGGCAAGATCTTAACAATAAAATCATCGCTAATGTAAGTATATTTTTATATTTTGTATCTATTTTTAGTTTGAATAAAACCTTCGCCTCCCAGCGGCCCTTTTAGGAACCCTCTTTTATCTTTATATTCAAACAACGGGACACTTTTTCGATCTACATTTCCAGACCTTAGAAATGACCTTAGAAATTAGATTAAAACTAAATCGAAACTTACTTGTTGAATTATTCCACTAGGTGTGCTAACGGTTCGAGAAATAGTCGAACTGCAGGTTATGGGATTATTCGTGAAGCCTGTCGTAGCAGGTGTAGGTTGCGTTCTGGCTTTCACTACAGCCGAATGTAATGAAACCCCCATATAACCGAATTCCTGTTTGTACTCTTCAAGATTATCCGGAGGGCTGCGGATGCTTTTCAGTACAGGCGCCAGTACTTTAATCAGAAGCGATTTAATGTTACTCGAAGCGATTTTCTCCATATTCGAAACCAAATTCCCTTCCAAGTAGTTCGTTTCAATCCGTTGACCTATGCTCTTGACCCTCGGTAGGATAAATATTCGAATAACTTCAGCGCCGAGTTCCGATAGGCCTTGAAGGGCGCCGTAGAGAGAAGATAGAGCCACTTTTTCCTGCTGCAACGCGTTGGTGAACATCCTCGTGACGCGCGTTTGAATGTTATTCGTACTGGTGTTGAAATTTTTGCAAATCTGCGCCATCAATCTGGACGCGAAGTCGCGCAACGCCCAATGATTGTCCAATTCCGGCCTCATGCAGAGCTGCTTCGATACTATACAAGTCGTAACAGACGGTATTAATTCGTGTAGCTAAAATATAAATCGATAAAAATTTGTTCGTAACAATCGAGTTATATACTTACGTATTTTTCTAAGTATAACGATTGATTATCTAACAAGGCTTTGACCATTCGCATTAAATAGATTAGTAGCGCTAAGTTATTTTGTACAACGTTCACTCTCACTCCTTCTATGATAAATGTGCACATTCTAGGTAACATTTCGTGCAAACCGGGATCCGAGGCTAAGCTCTGAAGGGCCTCGGCTCTTCTCGCTTCGTCCGATCCAACGCAGGCTTCTGTTATCTCTTTATAATACACTTGTTGTTCGACTGACAATTCGTGCGTTGCTAATTGTTTGATTTGCACGGTTTCGATATTTTTGAGTTTTTGTTTGCCGGTCGTGGGTTTCCCCGCCGTTTCCTTCAAAGGTTTCTTTTTAACCGGATCGACCGACTCCAACTAAAAAAACACGTTAAACATTAAATACCTGTCAATAAGTTAGTGTCAAAATATTTGCAATAAATGAAGAAGAATTCGTATCGTGTTACGAGTATCGAGTACATTTGTTCTGAGCATGCATTAAGTGCGAATAGCAAAATAATGAACTATTAAGTCAGTGAGTTTTTATTACTTTTTGTATAACTTTTGCAACAGGTGGCGGATTCTCGGGAATCGTAGGCTGGACCCCGTCGATGCACAGCCAATGCGATCGCAAAGTGGTTTCTAGCGGGGCCTTCGGGTTTATATTGTGTAGCAAATCGTTGAGATCGACTTCCTTTTCTTCGATGAAATGCAGTTCTCTGCCTCCTCCGGAGGCGAATCTAAACGGTAGCGGCTCCGCGGATTGGAATCCGTATTGGGGCTACAAAACGACCGAAGTAGAAGTTAAACGGATATAAACGTGCAATGATGCGAACCTCAATGTTTTTAACTTTTAGCGCCGAATCGATGTCGGTTTGGAGCAGTTTCGAACGTTTCGCGTGGTTCATAAATTTAGCGGCGTCTTGAATTATGTGCTTGACTCGAAAGGATATGTCTTCTGCTAGTTCTTTGGCAGCATCGTCCCCCAAATAGCCAATTCCTATGCTCTCCGCTATCACCTTCATGGACTCTGTCGAGAAATTGGTTCCGTATAAGTCACATTCGTTGATTTTCGACATTGTGCCCTTATAAATCTTAAAAAACTATGGTTTTAAACTGGTTTAATATAACTAGAACAACTTCATCAACAAACACTTCAGAGAAATGTCAAAATTTGACATTATCGGTTAGATGTTACATCATTATGAAAAAAGAAGAAATAAAGCCTGTTACTTCTCTTTTACGCATAATGCACTCTGTTAGTTGGAGTATACAGCTACCAACTAACTATAATCCTGAAATTATATTAGTTGTATCATATCTATTTATATTTAGGAATATTAAAACGAGTTTAATCATCATTCCGAAGTAAAATCTCTAAATTAGTAGATCTTCTTCTTTTTTAATAGCTTGCAATCGAGTTCATATGCCAGATTAGTAGGTCTTTTAATTTTGAGCTGTCAAATTATCTATTGTCACTTGTCACTGTCATATCACACGTGTTTACAAGTTCATGAAGTTTTTCTTTTTAATGTTCAACTAAATACATTTATAATTATTAAACCATGACCCAGAAGCCGGTTAATTTTTTAGTAGTAGATACTACTGCATTTCTGCAAAATGCTCCATTACAGGTAAACTAAATAATTCTTACACATTTACGACTCGATGTACAATTAATATTTTTAGGACGTCGCAGGGAACATAATAACTTGCCCGGAAGTTGTCGACGAAATCAAGAACAAAAGGCAGCTGAGACGTCTCATCGTACTTCCCTACGATTTGATCGTAAAAGAAGTTTTCCCCGAAAGCGTTCTGGCCGTGACAGAGTTCTCGAAGAAGACCGGAGACTATCCCAGTTTGTCGGCCACCGATATCAAAGTTCTGGCTTTAACTTACCAATTGGAGAAAGAGAAAGTGGGAACGGAACATCTCAGAAAGGAACCCGTCATGCGTAAAGCCGAGGTCACGACTCAAAATATGACCATGGAAATGCAAGCAGATGTAACTGGATTTTTTATACCAAAATCAGATGGTAAAGAGAATGATGAAGAAAACGAATCATCAGGCGATGAAATCGAACATCCTACAGAAAACGAGGATGAATTAAAAGAAAAGTTTGGTGGTACAGAGGCAGAAGAGATTCTAGAAAAACTAGAAGAATTAGAACTAAATGGGAATTTAGAAGCAGACAATTTATTAGTACCTGTAAAAACCGAAGAAAAGTCGAGCTCTAGTAGTAATGATACTGAAGAAGAAGAAGACGATGATGATGATGGCTGGATAACACCATCAAACGTTAAAATTGCCAAGCAACAAGTTAATTCTAAGTTGATAGAAGAGAAGCACGTTGAAGTTGCATGCATGACAACGGATTTTGCAATGCAAAATGTCCTTAAACAAATGAATCTGAATGTATCAGCTTTAGACGGAAGACTCATAAAGCGATTAAGGACATTCATACTGCGTTGTTATACTTGCTTTAAAACAACGAGCATTATGACTAAGAAATTTTGTCCCAAATGCGGCAATAACACCTTGAAAAGGGTATCTGTATCATTGGACGAAGATGGGAAAATGCAAATACACATTAATCCAAATAAACCTCTAACAGCCAGAGGAAAGAAGTATAGTTTGCCTAGGATTAGAGGCGGGAAACACCCTAATAATCCTATTCTAGTCGAAGACCAACCAATGCCGCAAAATAGGCCTAGTAGACTTGCTAAAACTAAAAATAATCCTTTAGATGATGATTACATAGCAGGTGAAAATATTTAGTGCAATCAAACGATTATTCTTTTACTAATAAATCCTTTTTTTTTAGGATTCTCGCCTTTTGTTACCAGAGATGTCAACTCCAGATCTGCAAAACTCTGCATAAGACCTGATCAAGAAGTAAAATATTGGATGAGCAAAAATCCAAACGAGTCTAGAAGACGAAAAAAGTAAACAAATATTCCCTCCTGTTTATATTTAATCAATAAACTTCTTATTAGTATGTTAGCTCATGTACTACTTGTACATTTTCCTCGAACATTGATGCTTGTATATTATTCCTCGATCTTTCTGAAATATCAGTACATATCCATTATCTCCATTCGCGAAATAATGGTGTTCCTGATTACCCCATGCAACAGGGCTATCGGAAAATCCTTGCACATACACCGCAATCCAATTTACTGGCTCATCTTTGAATTGTGACCTACAAAAAAAATGAGTATTTTAGAGATTTATTCTTTTTGAATTATTTGGAGCCCGAGAGGTGTATAGGAAGATGGAAACGGATCCGCTGATTACGAATATGACCATCATTTTCCCAGCTAAATTCATTTCGGCTCGTAATTCGCAATCGCAATTTAAAAATTCTAATCGTCCGCCATTTTGGAAATTATCCAAGTTGACGTATTGTTCTGTCATTTTTCGTTCTTTTGCGTGGTTCCGAACTGTTCTGAACTTGCACTCGGCGAACGCATCTCTTGCGGCCTTTTACTACGTCAGTGTCCAATACCGCGGTACGTAAGTTACTACAATGATAAATAATACTTACATTATGTTCTCTATATGCTGGATGATTGAAGTAGAAGTAAAGAACCCTCGCAATCGAAAACACCGCACCGGTTTAACATCCTCGCAATCGGTATCGGGACCAAAGTAACTCGATAAGTACTGTTGCTCGTCTTGCTCTAGATCGCACGAAAGCGAGACCATTCCCAGCCATTCCACGAAAGTGGATACGTCGAGTTTATCCACAGCAGGAAATTGTATTCCTGGTATTCGGACGTTCGCAGTGTGCGAGTGTAAAGCGGGAACGCATTGCTTGACATTGTATCCCACTTCTGAAAAGTACTTGGCTATCGATGAAGGGCAAACGTCCTCTTTCGGTGGTTCCCAAGACAAGAGCACCGTGAAGGGTTTCAAAATCTTTAGGCGGGATTTTAAACGTCGAAGCTTCTTTTTGTTGCTTAGCAATTTCTCGTCTGCCAAGTCGATGCAAACAACTGAAATTTTGCAATAAAAAAATGATAGTATTCGTAATAAAAATTAATATACGGTTAGTCATAGCGTTTAATAATGGAAATTTATTAACGATTACTGTGAATAGGAGCATTAAAAAAGCGACGCCACTTAAAAAAATATATATTTACCTATAAAAATTAAGATACTTGTACATTTTTTAGTCGTTTCATTTGCAAAACAAAAACTGACTAAAACAAAACTGGTACAAACAATTCCGAAAGTAATTTTCGAGACTCGCGTAGTGATATCAGAAATTTTCAATTTCAAAAACATTCCAACTAAATAAATAAAAAGATAGTGACTAGATAAAATAAAATATACACCTTTAAGATATTTTATTGTTGATGAAAAGGTTTCTCCCATATATATCTTTTTTTTTCTATTTGTATGTGTAAATGTATTAAAAATAGTAGATGAGGATTTTTAGTTTCAATATTTCTAGACTAGTGGACGATGTAAAAAAAAATCGTAATGAAACCTATTCACAACCTATTACAAGGCTCTATAAGCACAGTAATTTAAGTTGAAAACCCCTTATATACTCGTAAAACAACAAACTAAATAAAAGGCTTAAATCACAAGTTTAAAACCCTACGAAAATTCTCTAATAATATTAAATCATACAAATTTAAGGAACAAAAATTTTAGAGACCATAACGTCTTCGATATCAAATCATACCATCATAAAAAGAAATAAAATGTAGTTTTTATGTAGTGAATGATAGAGTAGGTCGTATATCCAAATCGAAATTGTGAGAGTGTATGTAATGTTTAAACGTAACCAACTCTTTCTTAGATATCCCCAGCCAACTTTCCAATTCGGACAAAACTTTCAAACTAGTACAACTGGCCAACAGTAGTTCAACGGTCCTCATGTTCATATCGCTGCTGTACAACACCCGCAGCTCCTCCAGCTTCCTCATGGGATTCACCGAGAGGATATTCACGACTGTAGCGTGCGTAATACCGGTAGAAGAACCCAAATGGATGTATCGCACGTTACAAGCGTGTTTTAATATAAATTCCAAATGACCGATGGCGCTATCCACCACCCAAAATATCCTCTCGAGGCTCACGAACGGCCGGACTTTCAGCTTCTGCGTCGGCACCGAACCGTTCCTGAAATCACAATTATAACAAACCAAGTTCTTCAGTTTCGGACAACACTGGCTGATGTCCACCAACACATCAAAGTCCATCTCTTCCACGTGCTCCAAATGGAGACTCGTCAGATTAGGCCCTCGAATCTCCAACAGCTGCTTCAGGTAATCGCCGTAGAAAGCGCACGACAGCAGTTTCAAATCGGTGAGCTTGTCCAACGATATCAGCACGGTCAGATCCGAGATTTGCACGTCGTGGAACAGGCTCACGTACTCGATCTTGGGGAACATCTCTACGAGCAGTCTCAAGTTCTCCGTCGATATATCCCGAGTGTGGATTTTTCTGAGCGCGAACGGACCTTTATGCGGGTACTTGCGGTGCAAGCGCTTTATCACGTTACCGAAATCGTCGCAACGACCGATATCTTGCAATTTCGGAAGACCGGCGATGATCCGAGCTAATCCTTCCGTAGTGACCGAAGTTCGGTGCAATTGCAGCTCTCTCAGATTCTTGCAGCTGAGCAAATACGGAATGCATCTGTCTGTTACCGACCCCGATGAAGTTAAATCCAAGCATTGCATGTTAGGACAATTTTCCCCCACAGTTTGCACGATTACATCCGTACTATCGAAGCACAGACAAAGCGATTTCAAGTTTTTCATGTTCGATATGCTCTCGAGCAACGATCTGTCGAATTCCGACGTCCGCCAACCGCCCGAGCACGAGCCCAAATTCAAGTTCTCCAGGCCGGTGAGATTGCTCAAATTCTTATACAAAATATATCTCATTATCTTAGGCCAGCGGGAGAAATCGATGCTTCTTAGATGCGAATTCAGCACGACTTCGGTCAGACTGACGGCGACGTTCATCTGAGTGAGAAACGCCGACATCGATCGGCGAGGATAATAAGTTTTCTTGGTTTGTTCTATCAGCACTTTCACCGCTTCTAACACCTCCACGGCCATTTTGTCGTAGAGGTAGAAAGGAACGTGAGAGGAGAGCAGCTTGTTCAGCCAATCGAGATTCTTCTGGAGACTAGAAATTACTTTCTGATGTTCTTTGTGTATTTTTATGTTAGCTAGAATGAAAGGCGCCATTTGTACAACGAGACAACCTACGCTCTTCAGGCACAGCGGCTGTAAAGAGGGTACATCTCGATGCCTTGGCATTTTCTGGAAATAATTTACAAGAGTTAGTTAAATCGGAAGAGGATTATCATTCACACTATTTAGATACACGATCTACTCTTTATCTAATAAATAATACTCGTCAATAAATTTGGAAACTCGTTATAGTGCATTAGAAAACAATTATTTAATGTACTTACAAAATTTGTTTCCCAATGTTTTGGTGAAATGAGATGTTACTCCTTCCAATCCTAAGCACTGGTATGTCTCCTTGTTTATACTAAGGTAAAGTTTACCATTTGGTGTCACTCCGATGCAGTTATCACAGTCGATTCTAGTATTTATGCTCAGTAACGTTAATTTACCTAACAAGCAACAAATATTTACAAACCATTTTAAACGAAAAAAATTGTAATTACATTACCATTCCTTACAAAACTTGAGATAAACGAGGGATCAGCCAAATCCTCCAAAACGAGATCATTTACTTTATAAAAAACTTCGTTTTCCAAAACAGAATCAAAGTAATTTCCAACAGACTTCTGCGAGTCGGGAATAATAACTGTCAACTAAAAGATGAAGCGTATTACACGAACGCATATCGAAAAGTTAGCGTGATAAATGTTAAATACTCACTAAATGATTATAATGAAAGTCGTCTACTTTCGAGCTGTTGGATTGCAGGGCTCCTTGAAAGTTTTCAACGTTAAACAAGCTTCCTGGTGCTGGAAAATCGTTCACTTCGGGGCATTGCATTCTACGTTGGCTTTGTGTTATTCGCAGTCTGGATACTAAACTACATCGTAATCATAATGAAAAGAAAAACAACCATAAAAATGCATTTGCATCAAATGCGCAATAAAACTTTCGCACAACACAACATAACCTCTTTTTTTCTCTTCTTTTTTTAATAGTTAAGCGGCCTTGTATGCTGTAAGCAATAAGTCAGGGAACATTTTTACTACTGATATACGGTGTGTCCCGCATAAGGCCCGATACAGAGCAGGGGAGACTCAAATATGTTGTTTAAATAAACAAAGTTAAATTCATAGAGAAAGAAAGTTATTTGGTCCATGGTTACATTACTGACAAGTTACAGGCCTTCAAACTTCAAAGTGGAGTTACAAATTACCTACTCAATTATTAGATATTTTATTTTACAAATGTTTTATTGAGCAAATACATTCAAATTGCTCCGATTAATTCCTTATTTAGTGCACCGACTTACAATCAAATATATATTTCATTAGATTTAAATCGAATTAAACTTTTTTTGTAAAAATTGATTATATAAAATATAAATATAAGGAAAAATTTGTTCAAATTAAATTAACACATATAAAGCGGGCTAATAGTATCACATCTTTCGCTATCCGATTAAATTATTCTGAGACATTAAAATGGTGGGTGAAACTGATAATAAAACGTTAAATCCTCCGTGTAAAACGCAAACTTTCTTCACGTTGCACCTCAATAAAAACGTGGGAAACTGAAACAAAAACGATATAAATACAATTCAAACTTGAAGAATAAATTAATTGAATACCAATTCTAAATCAGTTTCTTCATCTCCAACAACGACAACAACTTTATCTTTACTGTGCTCCAAAATCGCACTATTACTCCCAACATTTTCGATTTTATTCTCCGTAAACGAAACGCTCGAAAACGGAATATTAATGCTGTTAATTATACAGCAACGGTTAAACCTGAAAATAATTCCAATGAAATAAAACAATTCGTTATTATTCAAGTAGAATTTAAACTTACTGCACCATATTTCTGATATCAATCACCAGAATTTTACGAGGGTTTGTTCGAATCATATCTATCACATCTCGAGCGCTAACGCGCGGGTACCTTTCTCGTTTTAAATCGCTCAAAGTCACCCCTGTAATATCCTAGAATACGAATTTATTAACATAATTTCAATCGATTCTCGACTTTTCTTACATATTCATCCTTTGTTCGGTACTCATCGTTATCATGCTCTCTTGCCGTGATGCTTGTAGGTGTCGCTTTGAACGTTTCTGTAGACAAAACGACGGATTTTTCGATATCAACCTCTGGCAAATCCGAAAACAGCAAAATACATTCGTTAAATCCAGAACTGAGCAATCTGTCTCTGAGTTGGGTCAACACTGATAAGCCTATATGCAGTGAAAACGAAGAATTCGCCAGTAGAACTTTATCCCACAGGTGTAGAATTTTGTAGAGAGGAAACACATCTATAAATAACGGTGTTAATGCATTATACAGGATGTCCCAACGCATAACTTACGCGAAAACAACGTCAGAAACCAAGGTATTGCGAATAGTTGCGGGTAGAAATTGATTTCGTACAAATGATTGGCGAGAGTGGGATCGTGGAAGGCGATCAATTGCGAAAATTTGGCCAAATACTCCTCGATCACTGGTGAATTGTCTTTGAGGAAAAATTTGTAGAGGAATTTCGGTATAAACGCCGACAGACAAGCGAACGCTTTCGCTAAAAGATACATAAACATTCTATTTTAATTCACAATTCGTAGTTCATTCGTACCTTCATCGTTGAAATTCAAGTACAGAAACGGAGCCGTCAGGGAATCCAAACCTTGCCAGTAAACGTACTTGGAATTTTGAAACACCCAAGCTTTCAAAATTCTCTTCAACTTCTTGTGCCCTTCGGTCGACGAAAGCAACTCGTTGTATTGATGGCATCTAGGAATATCGACTTCAATCTAAAATATATCAATTCAACGAACAATTTTCCAACTTATTCCGAGCACTAACCTGCCTATCGGTCGGAGTTATCGAGTATTTATCCAATTTCATATACCGCGACTTGTAATCGCATTTTATATCCAACAAAGCGGCCCAAATCTCGCCTCTCAGTAACGGAGGAATGTCCTTTTCGGCTTCCTTCCTTATGAGATCCTTGGTGAACGGATACCCCTAAAATTCACCGAAAAATCATCAAGTAAAAGGCCGCAAAAATCAATTTTTTACATGCAAAAGCCGGCGAAATAGTATGATTCTATGAAACTGGTACTCCGGGTCGCGTTCTTTGATAATCAAAGGTAAACCGGTTGCATCATACGGTTGCGGTTCGAATTGGGATATTATATCCGATTTGATTCGAATCAATGGATAAAAAGACGACAACGGTATATTCTCGAATCTTTGATACAGAGTGTCCAAAGGCATTTGCACGACCCTCGGATCGTACAACGTAGCCGGGTTCCTCTCCTGTCCCAAAATATTCCCTTCGATTAGCACCAAACTAAAAACGCTACACCAATAACACAAGAAAATTATATAAACAAATAACTTACTGAGGTAACGATAGAATCGGTGGACTCGATCTTATAAGGCCTTGTTTCTTCAGTTCCTGCAGCACGTCTCCTCCGGCGAGCTGCCACCAATGATACAACTCGTGTATGGTGAATATTTCGAAATTTTTCAACTCTTTATCACCGCTGTCTTGTTCCGTTTGAAACTGGCTGAATATCTTATTCCGTAGGAGCTCTTCGCACGTGGGTCGTTTCGTCGGATCGATGTTAAGAACGGATTCTATCATTTCCTTGAGATCTTCAGGAACGTTCTTAAAACGAATAAATCAAGATGCTTCTGTGGTAGATAATAATGTTATTACCAAGTATTCTTCGTAAGCGTTATGTTCTCGAGCAATACGTTCGAAAACGGACGAATTCGATTGCAGCAGGCTTAGGATTTTTCGAATTCTTTGCCCGACTTTCAGCGAACTCCACAAACTTTTATCCAATATGAGTTCTATTAGAATTATGCCCACTGCCCAAACGTCTACCGCAGGATTCGGAAGACTGTTGTGAATCCCGTCTAAATAGATCTCCGGAGCTGCATACAATAATTGGCTAAAATTGTATCAAAAAAGTTACTTAAATAAGCATAACATTATTGTAACACTTACACTACTGGAAATGAAACTAGTTTTGCATTATCCGTTAAATAATACAATCCATAATTAAACATTTTAATGTTTTCTCCTTGCAGAAGGATATTCTCGCAACTGAGATTCCTGTGAACGATGTTCCGTTCATGCAGCAACTTCAGACCATGGAGTATTTGATATGCTATTCGCTTTATACCATCGAGCGTAAATTTCTTCTTCTCCAGATAATTCGATAACGGAACTCCGCAATATTGGCATACTACGATCGTTCGTTCTAAAATAATCGTTATAAGAATGTTACAATAGGGTAAAATGAATATTACCGTGTTTTCCTCGAATAATATCGAGATATTGGCAGAGGTAGGGGCTTTTAATCGTCTTCAACTTTTGGGCTCTTCCGTATATTATGATGGAGTTCGGGGTGAGCGGTAAGCCGTTGCTGCCGCACATATCTTCCTTGTGCTGTCGCGCGAAGAACGTTATGGCCCCGAAGTTCATTTCGGGGTGCTTCAGTAACGGCACCATCATGTTGGAGCTCCGGTTTTACGATGAACGCAACGCCTACTTCGTCTGCATTAATAACGTCGCTAAAATTGTAATGCGATAGCGGAAAATGGGCGTAATTAACATATTTATTTGCAAATCTGTTGAGTTATCAATGGAAAAGTTGGGTTAGGTGTGATTGTCGTGATTGTGACAGGAGACAGGAGTTTGATAGGAAACTTACTTTGACGTTTCGAGCGCAGCGCCTCTGGTGGGATTGTTGTCAACTAGAGGCCTTTTATGTAATCGACAACGGGTTAATTTTGTACTAATGGAAATTTATTATCTAATTCTAATTAATCGGGTAAAGATAATTTATTGAAATTTTTATTAATAATGTAATAATATCTAACTTTAAATTTAAGATTTTTCGATATAACTTCAATGCATAACATTGTATTTGAATGTCCTTTTTTATCAGAGGCAATGCAAACTGAAAGGACCCGTTCTCATACATAACGCATAAACACATCGATTTTACGTTGAACCTGATTTATGGAATTTTTCTTCATATTCAGAGGTTTATTTTCCAGCTAAAAGGACGATAGTGTCCTGCGAAAACTTTCAAAGGGTGAATATGGAAGAAAAAAATTTACATCAAAAACTGTCTCTTATATGAAATTTTCTGCAGTTTCTATTAAAAGTTGCCGGTGTTTGAAGGAATAATGTATATTTAAACGAGGCTGAAGTTTTAAATTATAAAGTTCAAGAGTTTATTTTACCGGTTTTGTTCTTTATAATTTGTTTCCTCTAAATGACTCTCCATTAAAAATTTAAATCCAGTTTTACCACAGCTTCATACTCTCTAACGTGCGATTTTATTTCTGCTCCCGCATTCGCAATTTCCTAATTACATAAATGCTTGTGAATAAAATTATTATTACATATTGACATACGCGGAACTTTCTGGAAAACAATTTAAACCGAATACATTCATTACCGCATTCACATTTCACGCTGATGTAGATAAAGAGGAAGTAACGAAAATTGAATGATGTACATTTTAATGAGTTTTAGTTTCACTAAAGCGAAATTTTATCAAAACTCGCTAATTGCTTCGAACTCCGGAGAGCTATAAAAAATCGAACCGTCCAGATTCGAGCTGGATAACTGGAAGTTTCTCCTTATCTCGCCCCTATTTCTTGTCGAAGGGATAAAGGCTACCTAACCAGAGATTCTCCTTAAAAAAACCCCGTTATCAGTTTGAGTTATACACCCGTAAATCAAACTAAACGAAGAAGCTTGTGATTTATGAAAACCGTCTTGTAATTTTCGTTTACAAAGGACCTTTTGCGAAAAAAAAACCACCACAACTTTGAAAAACTTCGCCGGTGAATCCGTCGAGCGTCGAGACGCCGGGAGTCATGCGTAGCGTAAAATTAAACAGCGTCGCGACGGAGCGTTTCCGTAAAGAGAGAGCTACAGGTTATCCTTCAGTAAACCGCGAGCGTCCAGCTGTGACGTCGCGACGCGCGCTTTCCCCCGAAATCCCGAATTATTCGGAAGTTTTCCAGTTTTCCAGTTTTCCACTGGCGACTACTCCGGGCTGTAACGCGTAGCGGTATGTTGAAATTACAATATTGTTTGTCGATTAAGTTATTCAGTTTTCGATTTTGTTAAAATTGTAAAAATTTAATTGAAAAATTGAGTGCTGTAAGGATTTGCGTGCTTTGGGAAATTCTGGATAGTAATTAAAAGGAGTAGATAGTTGAAAGTTTTTATAAAAGTTTTTAATTAGTGGTAGGTTTATATACTTAATTAGTAAAATTGATTACAAAAGTTATCTACTATAGGCAATTTGAGCTTGGGTTTTTACAAAAGATATTCGCTTAAATAAAGGTATAAATAGCGAGTTGAAATAATTATTCGTATATAATATTTAGTAGCTATGAAATGTATATTTTAATTAACCAATTTATTGATTTTACAAATACCTAGCCATTCATATGAATAATAATTTTCAATTAATTGTTAAATAAACATTAAATAGCATCAAGAACATTTTAGATAATCCATTGCAAATTATTTTCCACCATGTTTCGAGCTGACTTATTTCGAGCTAAAATCCTCTTATTTACTTTGATGTAGAATCTGCATAAACAAAGGTGCGTACATTAAACGGGAATGTTTTGTGTAAAATAAACAGAAAATTCGACGGGAGTCGGTTTAAAAAAATACAAATTCCACCAACTATTTTCGTTCCCGTGTGGCAATTTAATTCGGTATTGTTAATATTTACATTGCCTGGGCAATTTTTGCTCCATCGAGTCCGAATGCGGTGTGTAGTCGCTTGTAATCGACCGCTAAATTTTTTGCAGTCGAAATAAAAGCCGTTTAGACCGGTGCAGGAGTTGTATCGCAAATTGAATTGGATTTACCCTCGTATAATATGAAATGAAATCGCGCGATTTGTTATCCTAAACAAAATGGAATTTAAGAGAAATCGTATTTGATTAAACTCTGCGTTATCGATTCGGGAAAGTGAGTCGAAACTCCCGGAATCAACTTAAATATTCATGATTTGCACGGTTTTGATTTTAATTAATGCACAATATTGAGCGAGCTAACGTTATTATTTTTTTCTGAATCGGATATATTTCAACGAAATGTAATTATCGAACTAAAATTGTGGATTTTATTTTATGAAATGTATTTCTTCTACAGTTTATAATCCAACAAAAGCGGTTACCTTAATGGAATGTTAAATATTTTATATGATGCAACTAGGTGGAGTGTATTCATATGGCAAATTCATAGAGGCAAATTCTGCAGCAGGTCAATTTTAATTTTAAAATTCCACTATTATAAACAAACCTTTCTTTATTATACCCAGTTATACTTGCCCACAAAGTTTGCTTAGAATTTAGAATTCACAAAGATTATATTAATAGAATAAATCGAACATAATTCCAAATACAATAGTAGTTTGAATGGAACTTTTTATCAATTTGTTGGTATATCGTTGGACATCATTGGTTACTTTAATATTTTATTTATATCGCAAATACCACATTATTTCGAAAATTACAGATCTAGTACCATAAAAGAAATTACCATAAAAATCATTACTAATTGAGTAGGCAAATCAATTCCTACTTCGTATATTATCACGATTATTTCACGAAACTATCCATGAAATCTTGTTATAGGTACTACAAATTACAGGCTAATCTGGAAAGTACACGACGATCAATTAATCACAGCTCGTCAAAAGGACGAGTCAACAATCAATTAATATCCCCAAAATGTCCTTCGAATTAATCTTGTATCACAGCTCGATAAAATCAGAAATAAAAAATCTGGAATCCATTACACGAAAGGGCCGAATTGTAGTTGGATTTTGCGAATAATTTATATCGAAAATACACAGAGCATAAATCGTTTAACAGTTTGAATTCCAACGAACGATCCCTCCTAATTTATTACACCGACGTGAGTACGGTTTAACTACTATTTGCATTTCATAACCCGCATACAATCCATCCAGTCTGGATTATTTACCTAAAATTTTTAAGAGTAATTTTATGTCCAAGCGGTGCTTGATTACTTTTAAAAAAATCTCCCATCGATTCGCTTTAAATCTTTAAAACCCTGAACTCTATTAGTTAACACGAAACAGCCCTGTTTGATTTGTTCGTGCGGCCAGAAAACCGAATTGGTTTATAATAATAATAAATTCAAATGCGCCTTGGTGTGTGTGATAACGTCGATTTTTGCACGCAATAAAACCGACTTTAGTCGGGCAAAAAAAACCAAACACGAAATCCCCATCACGCCTCGCGATTGGCAAATCGATTATGGGTTAATTTCGAAAAATTAACAAACCGATACATCGGCCGTTTCCAGCAGGAATAGAACAACAAAACGAATCCTTTTATTAGCGCAATAAATTCGGGAGGATCGTTTGGCCTCCGCCGGGACAAATTTTACCCTTTATTAAAAAAGAAAACGATATGTGTTGAGCCCGAACCGGGAAGATCGGGATTCGAAGCGAATAAGGCGAGGAATAAAATTTAATTACGTTTTTTTTATGCGATGTTTTCAGTGGCAGGACCTCGCGATTCTATTCTTGCTCTACTCTAAAGTGCTCACAACAATGGAAGTAGAATTAAAAACGTAATTACTTGGAGCATCTAATATTTACGAAGATATAGCTCTTCTGGAGATTACCTTGGACAATACCCTTGCAGGATAATGGACGGTTTCGAGCCAACGATGCATCCTGCAAAAAATAAAGAGCATCGTAGAGGAGCAGCTAAACGTTTATATCGTTTTGCGCGGAAAGTTTACATCCAGTTTATTTATAATTTAAAGAGTCTGATGCTCTCCTGGATTGGGATTTCCGTGTATATGAATTTATGATTTATGCGGTTAAAGCGATGAATTTCGAAATTTGTTTTCATTAAAGCTTATGGGAAGCTTCCCGGCGAGTCCGCTTTCTTGGAAATTCCGTTTCCCTGCAGGCGAGGGAAAAACTGATATGCCCATTGTATTCGGCAGGCATTTTTCTTTTGAGGAGTTTCAATATTGGGTATTTAACTGGAAAACGTATTTTTCTTCCGACTAAAAGGAACTAATTCGAGCTCTTGTTCTTTCGAGCTTTACCGTGCTCCGGGCTTATTCTTTCTTTGCGATTTTTGAAGAGGAATTCTTTCTTTTGCGCCGACGAGTTAATTAATGTTTGATTATAAAATTGGAAATTATGGCGCATTAAATTTTTGATGCATTTATGTCTTATTTAACTATGTTCTAAACGTTTGATATAAATAATTCTTAAAGCATATTGCACAAACTTCGCTTTATTTCCCTTCGCTTTTGTCGCGTTTATCGACTTTCTGCTTATCTCGATTACGTTTCAAAGTTGTATGGAACTTGATATTAAAAGTAGATATTACACAAAACGGCCTTTCTCTGAACATGTCAGTATAACAATGTATTTCGCTTTTAAAAAATATCTACGATCAGAATTCTATAGATACTATTCCAATTTTCCGTCGACTTTTCTCGAGCTATAGTATAATTTAATTTCCCCGTTAAGAATTATACCTATTTAGCAAAACTTCAGAAACTCATTTCTTTCGAATAAAAGTCGAATACTCACGAGCAAAGCACCCTCACTTCCCGAGCTTTTCTATTTAATTCGAACGGTATTTTCCCCATAAAAAATATCAAT